ATCAAAGTGCAAGTACCTTATCAGCGAGCTTCTCAAATTAATCGCCAAAAATCCAGAGTTCATCGACGAAATACTCCAAGCAATCGGCTCAAGTGCCAAAAACACCGCATACAATAATGGATTGTAGACAACAAAGTATCAACGTCCTCTACTGGAATGCTAACGGCCTCACTGACAAAATGTTAGCATTTCTCGACTACCTAAGCAAGCAAAACGTCGATGTTGCTTGCATCTCAGAAACATTCCTAAAACCAAACTCAAAAATTGACTCGCATCCAGACTACGTAATTCATCGATTGGATCGCGTGGATAGACCAAAGGGTGGTGTTGCAATCATCGTCAAAAGAAATCTAAAACATCAGCTTCAACCAAGCTACAACACAAAACTAATGGAATGCATTGGAATCAAAGTCTTCATCAATGACACGGATAGTTGTCACATCCTCTCAGTCTATCTCCCAGGAGGAAGCAAAGGAGGGGAAATAGATCTACATCTGAGAGATGACATCAACAAAATAACAAATCTGAGAGGAAATTACTACATCTGTGGAGACTTCAATGCAAAACATCGAGAATGGAACTGCAACGTTGCAAATAAATCAGGAAATATTCTTCAGGAAATGTCAGGAGAGTTCATGATCTATTTTCCTGACTCGCCAACGTACTACCCAGAAGATCGAAACAAATCAGTGTCAACAATTGACCTGATGCTCTCGAATTCCAACCTCGAAACAACAGAACTTCAATGCACAGAGGCAATGAGTGATCACTGCGCTGTGTATTTCCAAATCAAAACATCAAAAATCGACAGAACTGAAAATACAGTCTACAGATATGACTACAAAAACGCAAACTGGAAAAAGTTCAAAGCACAAATTTCACGCCGCATAGAAGACAACATTGGAGAAAATTCTTGCAATACAACAGATGAGATCGAGAATCACATTAAGATTCTCTCTGAACTCATCATGGAAGCGAGGAACTCAAGTGTAAAAATGAAAAAGATCAAGTTCGAATCAACTAAACTCACACCGGAGATTAAAGATCTAATCAACACAAAAAGGAGTCTTCGTCGAAGATGGCAGAGAAGCAGAGATAATCAACTCAAATCTGAATTGAATTATCTGCAGAGAGTCATCAATGAGAAAATTAAAGAACTCAAAAACAAAAACTGGAATAAGCGTCTCTCAGAGATTCAACCGTCAAACCAAACAGTTTGGAGAATAGCAAAATTTTGCAAAAAAGGTTCAAAAACAATGCCTCCATTGACAAATCTGGGTAAAACGTTCATCACCAACAAAGAAAAAGCCAGCGCACTCAGCGAGTATTTTCGTGAAGCTCACGAAAATCCTCTAGAACAAAACGATCCACAACATACACAGGAAGTAAACAACACAGTCAAAGAAGCATTGGAACAAGACAATGATGAGAATCCAGAACTAACAGATGTAAACGAAATCGTGAGCATCATAAGAAATCTGAAAAATCCAAAAGCTCCGGGACTAGATGAAGTCAACAACATACTCATCAAAAATCTTCCTGAAAAAGGTTTCGAATACTTGAAATTCATCATCAATTCGTGTCTGAAACTCAACCACTTCCCCAAAGTTTGGAAACATGCAAAAGTGATTCCTATTCCAAAACCTGGAAAACCAGCAAATGAGCTAAGCAGCTACAGGCCAATAAGTCTACTCAGCTCAATTAGCAAAATACTGGAGAGAGTATTACTGAATAGAATCAACGATCATCTTGAGGATAACAACATCATCCCAAACCAGCAGTGCGGCTTCCGGACTGGAAGATCAACATCTCACCAGCTCATCAAAGTGATCAAATCAGCAAAAGAAAACTTAAACAACAAAAAGTCAACAGGCATGATCTTCCTGGATGTAGAAAAAGCATTTGACAGAGTCTGGCATAACGGACTCTTGTACAAAATGCTCAAACTGAGATTTCCACTGCCACTTATAAAAACTGTAAGATCTTTCCTCAGTGAAAGATCTTTCGCAGTTTTTATTAAAGGTCAGTTCTCAGAAATCAAGGTAATCAAATTCGGAGTGCCACAAGGAGCAGTGCTTTCACCAACTCTCTACAACATCTTCACGTATGATGTTGTAAGAGAGACAACCAACAACATCGGTCTTTTCGCAGATGATACAGCACTGTATCATTCTGCAGAGAACTCGGCCGATATTGTGACACATCTACAGCACACAGGAAGAAAAGTTCAACGATACATGAACAAATGGAAGATCAACCTCAACAAACAGAAGACTCAAGCCTTATTCATCACAAACAGGCACTCCAGGCAACTACCAGGAAATAACATCAAATTTCTCAACGAAAACATCAAATGGGAAACAGAAGCTAAATATCTGGGAATGGTGATCGACAAGAGAGTGACATTAAAGCCGCATGTGGAGTATGTGACCAATAGGGCTCACACCGCATTAAGACAGCTTTATCCGCTCATCAGCAGGAACTCACAACTCGACGTACGAAACAAACTTCTCATCTACAAGCTAGCCATCAGACCAATATTCACATATGGTTGTCCAGCGTTTGGAAGCATGGCAAAAACCCATCTTCAAAAACTTCAAGTACTGCAAAACAAATTCTTGAGAATTGTTCTCAATAAAACAAGATATGAAAGGATCACCGATCTTCATACAGAAGCGAAAATACCGTCCATCGAAGACTACGTCGGAAAGTTGCAAGCGAACTTCAACAGTCGTCTTGCATCTCAAAACACCGAATAAATCAAATGAAATACAAAAGAAAGTAAAATCCGTAAATGAAATCAAAATTAAGAGACAAAAGGCAAATTGAATGCCTGAAACCTTAAAACAAAAAGCAACAAAATGTATAGAAACTTTGTACATACTTAAATTTAAATGTAAATAAATAAAAAGTTTAATTTAAAAAAAAAAAAAAAAAACTTTTCCTCCTCTTTTGCTGCTGTTGCTTTCTCCTTGTGATTGGGACATTACGATTTAAATGTAAATATGCTCGTTGCGTAACATTATTACTTTCATCTCATCATAACTTTCTATTTGGATTTTCGTCGTGGGATGGAAACTGCTTGAGATTTTATGGAAATTACAGCATTGCTGAGTATTAAATAAAAAAATAGAATTTTAATTTTAACAGTTTTGTAAGATTTGAATTTTAACTGTTTTGTAGAATTTGAATTTTTATCGGTTTTGTAGGATTTGAATTTTAACTGTTTTGTAGAATTTGAATTTTTAACGGTTTTGGAGCATTTAAATTTTAACTGTTTTGTAGAATTTGAATTTGAACTACCTTGTAGAATTTGAATTTTAACTGTTTTGCAGAATTTGAATTTTAACTGCTTTGTAGGATTTAAATTTTAACTGTTTTGAAGAATTCGAATTTTTATCGGTTTTGTAGAATTTGAATTTTTATCGGTTTTGTAGGATTTGAATTTTAACTTTTTTATAGAATTTGAATTTTTTACGACTCTATAAAATTTGAATTTTAACGGTTTTATAGAACTTGAAATCAAAGTATTCTTATTTTTCAATGTAACTCAATAAAGTCTCTAAATATGGTATCAAAATGTCCACTGGATCACATCCAACCAAAATTTTGCACCCCTTGGATTACGCGGATTTCCTTTTTTCATCTCGTTATTTTTCTGTAGATTTGAAGACTCAATTATTCGGTTGAAAAAAAATTCTTTTATCTAAAAAATTTTCGTAAACCAAAATCTTTCCAAATTCCCTCCAAATTCCTTTATACTTTCTACTTATTTCCATCTATCGATTCAATATACATTCGTTTTATTTCTTTCGTATTTTCAATAAATACATAAAAATAAAATACATAAAGTCTTCCATATTGAAAAAAGAGTAAGCGAGCAAGAGGGAGAACAGCAAAAAAGAACCTATACTGTACATATATTGCAAATGATTATAAAAAAAGGAAAGAAAAATACTCTAGAGAAATAAACAAGAAAATGGAAAAAATATACATCACGAAAAAAAATCCACCCTCGCTCGCATGCAAACAAGTTGAGTAGGATTTTAAGAAGATGGAGAATTGGATTGAACGCAAGTTGTTGGGATGTTGAGATGAAGATTGAGCTTAGATTTTAAAATTACAGAATTTTTTGCTTATTGGTCGATATAGTAATTCACATTTGAATTTTTAACTGTTCAATAAGATTTAAATTTTTGACTGTCAAAATTTATTTGAATTCAAAAATTCCAGTAAAAAGTTTGATCTGTAGAATTTCAAATAAATACTTCAATGAATCAGGGTATATGGGTTTAATAGTTTGACAACGCTAGGATATAAATTGGGTGTGTGCAGTCACCCAGGACTTCTCAAGAACCCTCCGGATACTCAAAAACTATACCACAACCATAGCTTCAACTTTCCATTCCACAAAAAGAGCCATCACATAGGTGAAATGGAAAAAAAGAAGCATTATTTAGTACATTTGACACTCATGCATAAGTTTAAAAAGATATGTTTATGGATAATATGATTCTAAACAAAATTGAATTTACTTTTTCACTTTCAAAAAGTACTGGAAATGGAATTGAAATAACTGCGGTAATCATCGTTTTGAGACTTTTGAATGCTTATTGATAAAATTTGAAAGTAGTTAAATTTGAGATAGGAAGAAATCACATAGCAAGTTTCCATCTGTAACACCTCACCCAGCACTTGCTTATTCCAAATTTATTCACGCATATTTGAAAGGTAGAACCAAATCAACAGAAAAAAGCAGTAAGCAAGTATCTATCTTTTCACATTCACAGCATTATACATTTAATTTATTTGTAATGGTTTTTGTGTTTGGGGTTTTACTCAGCTGATGACTACTTACTGAACCATAAAGGAGAAATATTTTGATTAAATTAATATTTTCTGTTTTTAGCGTCTCTATCTCCTCAAATTTACTCTCTTGATAGATTCTTTTGCTCATTATTGCTGTGTCTATAAAATAGCCGGCAATCTAGTTTGTAGATTTATTTCTTACTGAACAGTTTGAGGGTCAGTTAAGTGCCTCAAAATGAAATTAATTCTTGTGATATCTGCAGTGATTTTTGTTGTTGCTGCTAATACAGAACAGTATAGAGCACAGTGTATAGAGGAATTAAACATCCAACAAGAAACTATTCAACAATTCAGTAAGTAGTTTTTAAACACAAAATTTGTGGAATCTACAATCTGTAAGTGTAAGACTAGGACTCTCTATGGTCGAGTGGCTGCGCAACAATCAAAACTCTGTAAAAATAGCATTACCTTGGCTGAACCAGATGCGACAATTTTGCGAATTTTCTACGAAGTTTGACATTTCGACTAGAGGCAGTGAATTCGATTCCAAGCAGAGTCTGTTCTCTTAATCATTACATAGCTTGTTGTTGATCCATCAAGGGTTATGACGATATAAACAGATCACAATCTTAATAACCGTTTAATAATTCTTCTTAAATCCTTAGGAAAAGGCCAGTACGATGAGCATGTCCCATGTTTCACAGAATGTGTTTTCAAAAAGATGGGAGCATTTTCAGATGGGCATTTTAACATTGAAGCTCTAACAAAAATCCTTGGATCAGATACAAAGACACCAGAAGAGCTAAGATCAGATATTGAAGGATGTATAGACAATACAAAAACTGATAATTGCCAGAAGTCATTTGCTGCATTTACTTGCTTTAAGCAGAAAAATTTGTACAAAATTCGACGACCTTAAAGTGTGATAATGTTCTGGGAATTGTTTATTCAAGCCACGAGGCTGTAATAAATTTGATAACTCTCAAAATAAATAATCTGTTGTTTGTATTGTGCGCGCCAAACCATGGATGCTCTTTATTTCATTTCTTAATAGTAATCGTACTAATTCGTTATAAAGTCTATATCCACAACCCATTCTTCCATATATGTTCAACCTCATAAGTGAATAACCTTTGATTATCAAGGTCAATCCTTAAACTTATCAATTCTACAAAAAGTTGACATTAATGTCATAATATCAAAAATATTGTAATAAATCCATAAATTGCTAATAAGACATAGTTCACTCAACAATAATCACATTATTGACCACACTTAAAAATCAATTTGTCTTAATTTAATGCGACCTGGCACCCATTTAACGATTATATCCCCATTCTTCGCCTTTCTAAAGCTTCTCATTCCACTGTCATTAGGAAATTGTAATAACTTTGATTGGAGTCCACCTCCTGTCAGCCCTGCTGCTGAGCCTGAATAACTTCCAGAATAAGAACCTGAATATGAGCCTGAGTAGGATCCAGAGTAAGATCCTGAGTATGAGGCTAGAAAAAATGGAGATTATTCAGTATTATTAAAATTAAAATTGGAATTGCTTCCTTAGTCCTATGTCAAATAACCCTAAATTACCTGAACCTGATGCTGAAGCCGCTGGAGCGACAGTTGTCGTGGTAGATAGCTTAGTCGTTGACGTGGTTCCTAAAGTTGATGATAGGGTGCTAGTAGATGCAATTGTAGGGATGATTCGAGCTATTGGAATGCTTTGTGATGTAGATTGTGTTGAGGTTGTAGACGAAACTGTAGAAGTAGGTAGTCCAAAAGCTGGAAAACCAATTATGGCACGAGTAGTTGTTGATGGCGTTGAAACATTTGAAGTCGTTGGAACTGTGAAAGTAGATGTTGATTGTGTCGAAGAAGTAGTTGGTATTGGAGTAGACAATGTCGAAATAAAGTCGCGAAATGGTAAAGTCGGAGACAGAAAAGTTGGAGTAGATGTTGTGAATTCAAAAGGAACCGTGAAGAAAGAAGTTGTAAAGGCTGGAGATGCTGTTCTTGTTTGATATGGAGGTCTTTTTCGAATAGTTGGTCTATTCCTTAATGTTGTTCTTGTTCGTCTGCGCTGCGGAACATTACGTGGTGGTTGAATTGCAATATCCCAATTAAAATAAGCTGCTTGAAAAACTTGTCGACAAAACTTTCTTATTTTTTGATCTGACAGAGCGAAAATTCTCCTTGCGTAGTTTGCAACGTATCTTCTCCAATTTTGTGGATATGATGGCCATTTTCCATTCTTAACGTAGTAGCAAACAATTCCAGCAAGTCGATTATTGGTTACTTTTTCCTTCGGCTTAACAGTCAATCTTTGAATCTTAGTTGTTCTAGCCGTTCTTTGTGGCTCAGCAATTGCAAAAAGACAAAATAAAATTGAGAAAATGATGAAAAAGACAGCAAACTTCATTTTTGGCTCCTAAAATGTCAGTAGTCTTTATTAAATTGAAGTACATTAAGTCTTAACATCAACTTTTATATAATATCCTTTAATCTATTAAAAATCCATCAATTTCTCATTATCAATAAACTTGAAATCAATTCAAATTGGTAAATTCCATTTGAAAGCTTTTTGATTCTTGCCTCATTATATGAGGTTCTTTAATAGCCATAAAATATCCATTTTTTCGAGTATGTATGCTTACATAAAAATTAGACCATAATTTAATTTTTTGATTCTGTGTTAAATTGTTGGATTGCTGCATCTATATGAACTTGAATGCCTTTAGAGTTATCGACTGACGAATGCTTGAATCCATCTAAGAAATAGCAAGTCTCTCCTGGTCCTGCATGAAGTTCCTTTGGCAAGCATGATGGATCACGTTCAATGAATGAGAATTTGAATTCAGGAACTAAGGACAAAGCTCTGCAAATTATTAAAGATTATATTAAAGAATATAAGAAACAACAAGTGACTGTGGAATTACTTTTTGGTATCCAATGAAATGTTGATCTTCTTTGGTTCACTTCCTGATTCAAATTTATTAGCAATTGTCACATTGTGCCCGAACAAGCAATATCTAGGCATCTTACGCCCGACAACTCCACTTAATACTGTGCCTGTATGCAATCCGATTCTCATCTAAAAGTAACGTTCTAATAAAGGCATGAATTTAAAAATCTATGGATATATACCTCAATATTCTTTCCAGAGTGAGCAACATGCTTTGAGCAAGTTTCAATCATCTTCATAGCCATAAAAGCGACCTTTGCTGCATCATATCGACTGTTGCTGTTCCTTCCTTCCAAACCTTTTGCAACACAATAAGCATCGCCAATTGTTTCAACTTTATAGACATCAAAAATTCCACAAAATTCATCAAAAATCTTATACAAGCTTTCCAACATGCTAATTACTTGTAACGGAGAAGCAGTGCTGCAAATACCAGTAAATCCAACAATATCTGAAAATAGCATTGTGACATCAGAGAAGCTTTGAGCATCGACCTGCTTTCCCAACCATAACTTTTCAGCTATTTCATCAGGAAAAATCAATTGAAGCAATGAAACATTCTTTTTACGTTCTTTTGAAACTGCTTCATGTCCTTCTTCGACTTCTTTTTTCAATTTATCCATACGACGCTTTAACCCATCCTGTGCGCGCGCTTGTTCCCCGACCAAAATAACTTCGCGTGTTGCATCATAAATTGGAATATCAGATAAGAAAAGACCGTTGCATGTTAGTCCTTCCAATCCATCGATAAATGGAGAACCGATAAACATCAACGTGTTTTTCTTCTGACCTGGACAAAAAACCATTTGACCCTTTATTTCCAAGCCTTTTGCAACGAAATCGTGTCTTGGAGAACGTAAAGTCAATAAGAATGGAGTGTTGGTACGCTTTGCGATTTCTTTAAATTCAAGCTTTAAATCAACTGGACGACGGAAACGGAAAAAGTTTGTGACTGCTCTAGTTGTAGTCAAGTAATTTTTGAAGAGCTTGCTAAATGCATTTCCGATTTGTACCAAATCCAAATTCTCATCCAATATGAAATGCCATGGAAACATCTTACAAAAGGTTGCATTATGCATCTGCAAGTCAGCTGGGTTAGATGAAATGGCACGCAATTCTGGCTTTTCTTCTGCAACCATTTTAAACAAATAACGGAATCGACTTCCATCAAGTCGTTCCATATTAATTTCGGAATGTTCTCCATAAAGCTTCTTTGAAAGTCTCTGAAGAATTCCCAACAGAACATACGCTACGCAAATACGATCAGATGTAAAAATCAATTCATTCTCAGATGCGCAAACAAATCCAGTGTCTGTCAAATCCTCTTCTTGTAATTTCAATACATCATAAACGCCATCAAGTGAGGCAATCAATTCCTTCATGTTACCCCCGAGACTCTTAAAAGCTCGTTCAATGACTCCATGACATGCTGTTTCAATTAACTCCTCGCCCAACAAAATTAATATGTCAATAGCGGTAGCCTCATCAAATTCCATTAATGCACTTTGGATGTCCGCTAAATAGTCGTAATGTGGAAACGACGATACATTGCTCTTTTCGTTCTTGCTAAAAATAGAAATTTTTATTGCATTATCGCCATTGTGGATGTACATAAAAAGGCAATAATGAGCTTACAATTTTGTCAATGCAGGAAATCTCTCGCTGTACTTTTCAGTTAGCGATACGAGAGCATCGTTGATAGTTTGATTTGAAGGTGCAGTCAACAGCTGCAATGCTTCGTTTATATGCTTCAGTGTTAAAGAATCGTCGTTTATGTCCTGCAAATCGAAATCAGCGACTGACTGTTGACGACTGAATGGTTCGACAGGTTTTCTATGCACAAATGGGCAAGCCATTGTTCTTGCTGTTAATATAATCATTATCGTGACGGAAATAAATTGGAAATGGGAGATTTATTGGCCACGATAAAGTTAATAATGAAAAAGAAAATTAAATAAAAACGCAAGCTCTATACTTACCTTTTTTCAATATTCCTTGTTTATCGTTTTGAAATTCGATTACTTAAGATGTTATTAGGGCGATAAATTATTGTAATAATCAATATAAATATTTTCTTTCTATTAATTTTGGCACATAAAGTGTAATTGATTAAATTTTCTAAAGAGACACTTACAATAATCGTAGTTCTCTTGACTGAAATAATTTTTTTGTTAAAATCCTTGGTACGCATGACATAAATTGATTTCAATACAATTGCAATTCCTTGTTTCATTTTCAACTCGTTTGTGCTTTGTTTATACCGGCTTTTTATTATTGAGTAAATCGTGCACGTCGTGGATAATGTAAATGTTTTGGTTTTGCAACTGAGAATTAAATTGTTTATTGGTAAGACTTTTCACTGAAATTTCTATTTAAATTGATTATTTCGATATTAGTGGCTGCTTTATTCGTTAGTCTGTAATATAAATAGATTGATTAATTGTAGAATTCGTAGATTACTTACTAAGATCTTGCTTGATCAAAACCTGAAATGAAAATGAAGATTTTGCTTAGTCAAAGGGTTTCAAACTACGAATATTTAAATACAGGAAAATCACTACTAGTTTTAATTTAAATAAAAATTATCTGTTACAAATTAAAATTTGTTCAATTTTCAAAATTAAACCTAGCAATTGTTCAAACAATTTACTCCTTGTTTAAAATTTATAAATAATTCAACAGGTATTTGTTTATAAACTGTTTCAATTTTCTCCATAACATGCACACCAAAACAATTTCAGGAACGTAGAAAAAAATGAAAAAAAAAAAAATCAAAAGCTTATTCTTATTGATTTAGAGCAACACTTTGAAATTACTACGAATATCAAAGTTTTTATTGATAAACGTGAAAACATGTGTTTTTTCAAACTTAATGCATCTTACTTCTCATTCATCTAATCATCACCAATACTCTCGCACGTCTCTATAAATACAAAAGAAAAATTTTCGCATACTTTCGTTTCTCTTCTTTATTCTCTTCAGTCGTCAAAATAAATTCGGACGAACAGCATTAATTTTTCATTGCGACGCTGCAAATTTAATTTGATTTCTGTTCTCGCTTTAGTGAGCTACATAATTGCATTTGATTATTGTTGATGTTATCAGACGATTAAGGGACAATACAATGACTGTAGGAATACACAGTATAGCTCAAATGGTATGATTATTGATCAAATTCAATTTATTATCTTATTACATTTTACTAATGCATAATGATACACGACGCTAATTCTTCTTTGTCTGTCCTTTCATCTTTGGACTCTCAAGTTCATGGTTAAGTGCTAGAATTCTTTTGTTCTATTTTTATTTAAGCTGTGTACATCACGTTTTTTTTTGTACGAAATAATCAGGCACACGAAACAATGAACTTTGCAATCAAAACAAAGAACGCGATAAAATACTTTTTGGATTAGCGACATTTACGACATTTAGGAAATACTTTTTTTTCCTCTAAATTACTGTGATTATATGCTTTGTTGTTGTAAAATTTGCTGTTTCATGCTTGTTACGCAAAAAAGTAAGAGTAATTGTTGACGTTTATGGTGATTTAAAAGTTTGATTGCGGTTTATAGAGATTTTTAAAAATTTAAAATTTACAAATCTTTAACTTTATAATAACCCTTAGTTACTGTGTGACTTTGCAAGATTATTTAACACTATCACACAGGCAGATAAAAAAATAAACAAAATAACAATACAAAATCAAAATTAAGAACTGCGATTAAAGATTTTGCTCTTATCATAAATATTTCTGTTTTGTTTCTTTTAATCAATCTCGCAAAGGCCAAAGTCACTGGATTTCAATTGGCACCGTTCTTCAAAGGAGCAATACTTTACTTTGTATTTTACAAGTTTGATTATTATGGAAGCAATCTACTATCGACAATTTTAAAATGTGCTCCCATCTTTTACCTGATGATATTTTTACTGATGAATGACTACAAAGAACCGAGACAGTAATGATTTGATGTTTAATACGCACTGCTTACTCAGATCATTAACATGATTTAAAATTTATATTTTTAGAGTTCGACACAAGAGATTCCTCTTGACTGGTTTATTCTTCTCATTAATTGGTGATATTATGTTGGATTATAAGGCTGGCGGTGAAAATGCGTTTGCTATTGGAATGGCATCGTTTGCCGTAGCACAGATTATTTACGTGATATCGTTTGGATTTAAGCCTTTAAGACCTATTATCGGATTGGGTTTTTACGCTATAGGGGGTAGTGGTAAGTGATAAGGAATTGGGGGTCATTCACTTATGACGGAGAACACCATTGAATCCACACTTAATTTAAGTGTAGGAGGAGGTGTATCCCAAAAATCTCTTCTTTGATTGACGTCATTAATGAACGACCCTAAACCATTACGAATGAGCAATACTCTATAAAACTTTCTTATCTTTATCCCTCCAGTTATCGCAATAATTTTCAAGAGCTTCAAAGGTATCTTCATAGTGGCAATTCCAATCTACTCACTCCTTCTGGAAACGATGGTATGGCGTGCATTCGCTAGAGTTATAAACATCAAAAGCCTTCCTCAAATTTGCTGTGCTATTGGAGCTCTGTTGTTCATTATCAGTGACAGTCTCATTGCTGTGAATATGTTTTTATTGCCCATACACAACGCACAAGTTTTAATCATGATTACGTACTATTTGGCACAATTGGGAATCACTTTGTCGGTGCTGGATGTTTGAAAAATGCAAAAGTTTCAGTTGATCTTTTAAATTAATCCAGTAAATTACATAAGGAAGATATTATACTCAAAGGTTACTCTATGGCATGAAATTTCAGTCTTTAATGATACAAACTAAGGGGTCACTTATGACGTCCGAAATTAACGGATTTCCAGGAATTTCTATTGTTCTTTTTTTGCTGACCCCCCCCCCCCCCCTGCGTTTGTAGGACATGTAGTGTACCTTAAAGTATTTATTTGTTTGGGAAATTCTCTTCCAAATGATATAGAAGACTGTAAAGACTTGATTAATGCAATTTTAAACTGTTCTAGATGTTTATTAAATGTTTAATGTTAATTAATAAATCGTACAAAAAATGTTCATTTTTTTTTAAATTAAACTTTTTATTTATTTACATTTAAATTTAAGTATGTACAAAATTTCTATACATTTTGTTGCTTTTTGTTTTTTAAGGTTTCAGGCATTCAATTTGCCTTTTGTCTCTTAATTTTTGATTTCATTTACGGATTTTACTTTCTTTTGATTTATTCGGTGTTTTGAGATGCAAAACGCAAGGGGAAAGAACTTGTGGGTAAATACGGGAAAATACGGGGATGTACGGGGATATACGGGAAGATACGGGGATTCACAGAATATAAATCAATATATACAGAAACCAATAAGAAGCATAAAACACATGTGAAAATATCATAATTGTTTCTATTTATTTAAATGTTATCATAAAAAGAATGAAAAAACATAACTATGTGTTCTTGAGTAAAGTCTACATTAAAATTTACGTGACATTTATAACATTTAAGCTCAAAAAACTTAAATATATTCATCACAACCTTTTGTCCACTCTCAATGAAGAATAAAGGACTCAATAGCACGCCAATGTTTTCGGAATGATCCATGTCTACTAAGTCCTGATAGTATATTGACTTAATCTTTGATCGAATATGCATTCGCTTGAAGTTTAAAACCCTACCAAAAAGTATATTTCCCTCATCAAATAGAACAACATTATCATCTTTCGAAACTTTTGTCGCTATCCAATAATCATCAGCTTGATTTTCTTCTGGAGTTATATGTATTGTTCGACGAGGTACAAAGCGCTGTCTAAGATCTGTATTCACATGAATTTTGTTATTTTCTAACATCCATATTAACTGATCTTTCTTAGCATTACCCTCTTTAATTGTAAGATATCCATTGTTTGATCTCGTCCTAAAAAATTCAACATTTTGAAAAGCAATTGTCTCGTCGATCGGCTCAGGATCTTCGTTATCCCAATCCATAAAAATACGATTGGTAATAAATTGTGTTTCAGATTGATCAGTTGAAGCACTTAACAAATCCTTTAATGAAGTTTCTTCATGATAAATTCCAAGTTCCTTTCCTTTTCAATTGCTGCAAAAATTCCACTCTCTATGATAATGTTAATATCGTTGGAGTTAATGTCTTTGTTTACGCGCCTGTGTCTTTCCTCTCGTTGCTCAATAGCAGGAAATGAAATTTCATCTTTTAGCTCAAACATTATTCGCTCACATGGTTCTATCTTGTGTAAACCAGTGTAAACGAGAGAGAAATATTTTTGGAGTGCAGTTGATTTGTGTACTTTGTACACCAGTTAAAGAACGAACATGACGAAACTCACTTTCACATTGTTGTGAAGAATTTTCGGATATATTGCTAGCTCGTTTGTCAATTATCAATCGTAATAGCCACAGTAAGTTCATTTCGAGTCCTTCGTAACAACTAGTAGTGATAAAACTATTATTTTGTATACCTTTCTTAATAATATCTGTCTTCCATAGCCTTAAAAAACTAACCATATAGACGGCATTAAATAAACGGTCAGAAATAGATGTATCATGTTCCACATATGACTTTAAACCACACTGAATTAACTTAAGATATAAAACTGTTCCTTTTGTATCTTCCATTGTTCTTAGCAGATCCAACACACGTTCACTAGTTATTTTGTATATACAGTTATATTTCATGAAATCAGTCACGTCTAAATCACTTTGAACAATACCATGTAAGGTTCTATCAAATTTTTTGTACATGAGGTTTTGGAATAGGAATCACTTTTGCGTGTTTCAAAACTTTGGGGAAGTGATTGAGTTTCAGACACGAATTGATGGTGAATTTCAAGTATTCGAAACCTTTTTCAGGAAGATTTTTGATGAGTATGTTGTTGACTTCATCTAGTCACGGAGCTTTGGGATTTTTCAGATTTCTTATGATGCTCACGATTTCGTTTACATCTGTTTATTCTGGATTCTCATCATTGTCTTGTTCCAATGCTTCTTTGACTGTGTTGTTTACTTCCTGTGTATGTTGTGGGTCGTTTTATTCCAGAGGATTTTCGTGAGCTTCACGAAAATACTCACTGAGTGCGCTGGCTTTTTCTTTGTTGGTGATGAACGTTATACCCAGATTTGTCAATGGAGGCATTGTTTTTGAACCTTTTTTGCAAAATTTTGCTATTCTCCAAACTGTTTGGTTTGACTGTTGAATCTCTGAGAGACGCTTATTCCAGTTTTTGTTTTTGAGTTCTTTAATTTTCTCATTGATGACTGTCTGCAGATAATTCAATTCATAGCTTCTCTGCCATCTTCGACGAAGACTCCTTTTTGTATAGATTAGATCTTTAATCTCCGGTGAGTTTAGTTGATTCGAAGTTGATCTTTTTCATTTTTACACTTGAGTTCCTCGCTTCCATGATGAGTTCAGAGAGAATCTTAATGTGATTCTCGATCTCATCTGCTGTATTGCAAGAATTTTCTTCAATGTTGTCTTCGATGTGGCGTGAAATTTGTGCTTTGAACTTTTTCCAGTTTGCATTTTTGTAGTCATATCTGTAGACTGTATTTTCAGTTCTATCAATTTTTGATGTTTTGATTTGGAAATACACAGCGCAGTGATCACTCATTGCCTCTGTGCATTGAAGTTCTGCTGTTTCGAGGTTGGAATTCGAGAGCATCAGGTCAATTGTTGACACTGATTTGTTTTGATCTTCTGGGTAGTACGTTGGCGAGTCAGGAAAGTAGTGCAACGTTGCAGTTCCATTCTCGATGTTTTGCATTGAAGTCTCCACAGATGTAGAATTTTCTTTATGTCTTTCTCAACAGATTCTACAATATCGCTAAGTTCATCACATTCAAGGATTATTACAATATCGTCCGCAAATTTTATTATTTTGGAGATCGTCTCCACAAATTTCAAGTCATAAAGCATCATGTTGAAGAGTAGTGGACCCAGATTACTACCTTGAGGCACACCTTTTAAAATCAAACAGGCCAGACTTACTGCATCAGCAATTCTCACAAATTGTTAACGATTCATAAGGTACTGTGTGATTAATTGCAATGCGATACCTCTGATTCCCATATTTTCCAATTTAAAGAGAAGCATGTCATGATTGAGGCTATCAAAAGCTTTCGATATATCCAGAAAAACAGCAACAACATATTTTTTTTATCCAAAGCCTTTGATGTGATTGTCAACAGCTTACACAGAGCATCTTGAGTACCGTAGTGATTTCTGTAGCCAAATTGTAGCTCATCGTACTGTTTGAATTTGGAAATGAACCCTTCAATTCACTCGTATAAAATTTTTTCGATTATTTTATTGATTGTTGGTAGTAACGAAATTGCTCTATAGTTATCTACACTAGTTTTACTTCCGTTTTTATAAATTGGCTTGATAGACGCAATCTTTAGGATATCTGGGTATATACCATTTTGTATTATATCGTTGATAAGCGATGTTACAACAGGTGTAAAATAAGTTGCATTGTCTTTCCAAATTCTTGCAGGAATTCCGTCGCTCCTCGTTGCTTTTCTCGTAGACATATCGTTAAGAAGGCAAAAAACGTCACTATCAGACACTGTTTGTAGCACTATACTATTGATGAGAGGTTTTCCAAGAAATTTTTTAATTATATCTTTTGATTCATGGCAAACAGTTGAGCTAAACTTCGCTTGGAATGCCTCTGCAATGTCTTGGCTATTAAAAATCACATCACGAATTGTTTCAATAACGAAAATTTGATCATCCTTTTTTCTTCCCGTAATTTCATTTATGACGTTTCATGAGAATGACCGGCAGTTGGAAATTAAATTTGAGTAGTATCGTTGTGCTATTTGAGTAGTGTGATTCTTCAGTTCATTTTCAAGACTCACAAGCTTTTCCTCTAATAAATTAACCGGATGATTTGTGATTTTCATTTTCCTTATTTTGTCATGCAGATTATTAATGTGGTTTGTGATTCTAATGTATTTTAAATCAATAAATGGTGGAACTTCATCAACTAATTTATGTTTTATTTTGTAGGTTTTACGAGCATCAAAAATAATTGCTTTACTAGATCACTTACGATAAAATTCTCAGGTAATCTCGATTTTGTTTCTTTTGAGATTTTTTGAATAATTTGCGGAGCGATTTGTAAACACGTCTGTTCACATTGAGATCTAGTTTGCAACTGTAAAAAAAATTGTTCAATTATTAACGGTTTTTATTTTTTGAATTTTTATCATCATCAGTAAACAACAATCATTGACAGTCATTAATATTTGTTTACCGCAAATAAATTTAATTTTATTAAAAAGTATATCAAAAGTATCAAGAATCAGTGAATCAATATGAAAGTCATTGACCTAAGACCAGATGCTAAGCTGCTGAAATCGAATTTCGATGGATATAAACTGTCATTAGATGCAGTTCCGATTTTAAGGCTAGAGAACATAAATAAACCGCATAAAGTTAAATTAACCAGCTCAGAATACTCATTGTCACATTCTATGCTGTTTAATTTGCATAATCATCTTGTTCCAGACCCGTGGTTATCTAATACAGCATATTATATCGATAGTACATTAACAGTACAAAGGATCCAGTATGATACACAAAGTGGACGTTTAAAACCAGCACAAGTTGTCTATAAATTCAGTAACAATCAGGAACAGACGGAAGGATCATATAATACTGAAATTAAGTTCATATCCGAAAAGTATGCAGTGCTAAGCAACGGAACTGGAATATTGCAAATTATTGATACTGGTGATCGTCAAAAAATCGATGAATGGAAGCGACTTGACTCATTGGAACCGATAGACAAGTCATTTATCATTCAAGATGCAAGATTTAAGATCGATAAAGGAGAGAAAATTATTCATTGCTTATTGCTGCACATTGATCAGTTAGATGGCAAATTCTACAACATTATTGACTGGATCACATTAAAGGAAGAATCCAGCACAAAGAAATGGAAGAGCTCTGCAAGACGTACATTACAAGGCAAAGGAAGCTTATATTACCTCTCATTGGATGTACATTGCACTTCTGTAGTCTATTCATCAAATCACGAATATAAGTACACCTTTGATTCCGTTAATGAAATTGTTCAAGATGTGGAAATGGAAGCTGATAAGCCAAAGGAATTTGCAGACTCTGAAAGTTCCTTCCAATGGTCACAAAAAGGAGAAGACATAACAATTAATTTCAGTCAAATTCCTGACGCTTTAAAGGACGATTATCATGTCAAGTGTCATCAAAGTCATGTGGAAGTAAAGTGTGGCGATGAATTCCTGCTTAATTCTGATTTATTCGCTGAAATTGATGTAGATCTTACAACTTGGACACTTGAGAATGATTTCTTGCAATTGAATTTGATTAAAAAATCCCCAGAATTAATTTGGCCCTACTTAACTCCTGGTGGGCCAGCGGAAGTGCTTGCAGCTACTGAAAAAAGTAATCAACTGCTTAGTTCTCAGCCAGCTCCTGATTTAAATTCCCAAATGGAAGAATGTGACTTTGGCGATGATGGACATGAAAATGATGAATATTTCATTGGTAAGATGATGTACTTAATTGCTGTTATGCTTTATTAATTGAATTTTTAGAGCAACTAGATGCTACAACCCACAAAACTCATCACAAAATCTTCCTGGCCTCAAATCATCCTCTATTTTCCATCACACTTCGTCCTGGATTCCCAAAAGCTATTGCCGTTCGTAATGATGTGGATTGCTGCTTATGGCTTCAACAGCAAATTACGTCTGAGGATGAGTGGTCCTTAAAACATGAAGGGTAAACTTTAACATATTTTTAAGATTTAAATTTTTGCATAGATTTTAAATTTTTGATAACCGTTAAATTCAAACTTGTCAAAGCCGTAAAATAATATTTTAAATTTTTAGAACTCTGAATGCATTTGGCTACGTGCAAGCCTCCAAACGTGACAGAAAATACATGATGTGCTCACCTGACATGAGCTTAGCAGTTATTTCAGAATCAACAAGGCATTTATTCATTTATAGAGATTCATACAGCACTGCAACTGGATTAAGAAAAAGAACAGGTCCACAATTGTTAATTGGACAACAGAAACTTGTTGCTTTAGACGGAACAAATGGTGAAATACAAGGAATTAGTGTCGAAAATGATGCTGTCTTATTGTTAACTGAAAATGCAGTTTTATGTCTACAGCTTGCTGAGGAAGAGTGAATTAAGTCTTTATTACTTTTTTATACACTACAATTTGATGAAATGAAATAAAATAAATGGAGACTAGGAACTAAAACATGTGAGTGGCATTAGCATCTTAAAACAAAAACAATTTAGATTCACTTCGACAGGCATCGTAAATCTTTGGATATTGATACTTAAATCCAGTTTCGATTGTGCGTTTAGGTTCGATTTTAGCGCCAGTTGTAAGCAAGACAGCTCTTTCCTGTGAAAACATGAAATTTACTACAAATTCAGGTAGTGGAATCAGTGCGGGTCTCCAAAGTGCTCTTCCAAAGGCCTAAAAGATTCAGTTTAATTAAAATATGTGGATATAGATTTGTGCACATCACTTACTTTAGCGAAATCCTTATTAGTGATGATATCAGGTGCTACAGCATTTAAAACGCCGTCTACATTCTTATTTTCTATAGAAAACATAATTAATTCACACAAATCATCAATATGAATCCATGGAAGTGGCTGATTGCCTTCACAAACAGGTCCACCGGCACCAAAAAAGAAAGGAAGGTAAAGTGACTTAATCATACCACCTTCTCTACCAAGCACAACGCCTGTACGGAGCTTAACATTTCTAACTCCAAGAGATTTATCGATTGTTGCAGCCTTTTCCCATTCAATGCACAATTCAGACATGTAGTCATACTTTTTGCACTCATCATATTCGGTATAGACTTTCTTATTGTCTGGTTTGTAGTTTGAAACGCCACTTATGTTGATGAAAACTTCAGGTTTTAATTCAGGGCTTGCATGGGAGATTGCTCTCACTAATGAAGCACTCGTATTGATTCGAGAGTTCCATACATTTTGCTTAAAACCAGGAGTCCATCGTCTTGTTGGATCTAGAACATTCTGTCCACAAAGATTGACTATTGCTGTTGTTGGTTCCTTAATTCCATGTTTTTCTACTTCATGCCATGTTACTCTACCCAATCCAGGCATACGACTTATTATTGTAACAGTATATCCACTATCTTTAAGTAGATTCGACAGTCTTGTGCCTATAAATCCAGTTCCTCCGCCTTAAAAATAATTAAATCGATTAGATAATTATGAAAAATTGATATTAAAAGATTTGTTTATTTACCTATTAGTACACGCTTCATGTTCCTTAATTTATAGACCAATATCACTCGGTTAAGTTAATTAAAAACTTGTTTAAACACTAAAATCACAAAAATAACGTTCCAGCACAAAAAATAATAATCATCAAAACAATTTTTTTTTTGTTTTTCTCAATTCAATGACTAGGTTGGACATGAAAAATGGAATGTGTAAGATGTCAAATTATGTTACATTATTGAAATAAAGCAGCATGTTCCTGAAAAAGTAAATTATTAAAAATTAACGATTTTTTACGTTTTAAATTTGAAATAAGTTCAATCGTTCAGTAATACAAAATTTCATTTCAGTTCAGTTCATTTTAGAGTTCAAAATTTTAAATTTCCAGAAACCGTTAAAATTTTAAAAAATATTAGGGAAATAAAAGACACATCTGATGTAAAGATCAATATTCTGGCAATATCCATAATTGATGATTATTACTGATTGTTTATATTTTTATTAAAAGAAAATTTCACAAGATTAGTTAAAATGTCAAAAATATTCACACCAACAAATCAAATTCGTCTTACTAATGTTGCAATTGTTAGAATTAAGAAGCATGGAATGCGTTTTGAGATTGCCTGCTATAAAAACAAGGTGCAGTCATGGAGAGCACAAACGTAAGTTAATTTTATAAAATTTCAATGTGTAAATTATTCAACTGGATCTTAATTTTTGAAGCGAGAAAGATCTAGGCGAAGTGTTACAGACTGAGACAGTCTTCACGAATGTCAGTAAAGGACAAGTAGCTAAGAAAGAGGATTTAATTAAGGCATTTGGTAAAGATGATCACGTTGAGATTTGTAAAGAAATCCTAACAAAAGGAGAACTTCAAGTCAGTGAGAAGGAACGTCATGCTAATCTTGAATCAACATTTAAGGAAATAGCAACAATGGTAGCTGATAAATGTGTCAATCCTGAGACTAATCGTGCATATCCAGTAACAATTATTGAGAAAGCTATGAAGGATGCTCATTACTCAATAAAACCGAGCAAAAATGTCAAATCTCAAGCACTGGATGTCATTAAACTTCTCAAAGAGAACATGCCAATCGAGAAGGCACAAATGCGGGTCAAAATCAATGTCACTAATTGCAAAGATAAGAAGCTTCGATTTGATGAACTTCCAAAACTTTTGAAGGTCAAGGAAAGTGAGAATTGGTCAGGTGCTAATGGTCAAATTACGGCTTTAATTGATCCAGGAAATTTCAAAGTCATTGAGGCATTGCATTCAACTAGTCGTGGGGAAGTAACAATTGAAGTCCTGGATCTTAAGCACATGAATATTGATGAAGAAATTATGTAGAACTTATTTTGTACATTTTTTGTTATGAAAATCATTAAAATCATCATTTATAATCATTAAAAACAGTCATTATTGCAAAAAGAAATGTTTCTTCCATATAAATTAATTATTTTAAGAAGTTATTCGACACATCCGAGACGGAGAGTGGTTGTGACTGGCTTGGGAGTCATTTCAGCACTTGGTAAGTCAGTTGACTCTGCCTGGAAATTTCTTTTAGATGGAAAGAGTGCGACGAAAAATCTTCCAGAAAATGAATTCTATGCAAAATTGCCATGTAAGGTAGCAGCACCGATTGACAGTAGTGTCATTGAAGAGATTCGATCAAATTTCACTAAAACAGAACTGAAGACAATGTCACCAGCTACAATTTATGCAATGAATGCTGTAAAAGAAGCTTTTAATTCTGCAAATTGGAAGCCAACAGATCCATTAGAAAGAGAAAGAACTGGTGTTGCTGTTGGCATGGGAATGGTTGATTTAGATGATATTTGTGAAACGCATGAGAATCTTAAAAAGTCATACAATAAAATTAGTCCATTCTTTGTACCTAGAATTCTGCTGAATATGGCAGCTGGACAAATTAGCATATCATATAAATTACAAGGACCTAATCATGCTGTATCAACAGCATGTGCAACAGGTCTTCATGCAATTGGTGATGCATTTAGGTTTATACAGCATAATGATGCTGATGCAATGGTTTGTGGAGCAACAGAAGCTTCAATTAATCCACTATCAATAGCTGGATTTTCTAGATTACGTGCTCTGTCCACATCCTTTAATGACCATCCACATGAAGCTTCAAGACCTTTCGATAAGAAACGTGATGGATTTGTGATGGGCGAAGGTGCTGCAATATTCATTATAGAGGAATTACAACATGCTCTGAATAGAAATGCTACAATTTATGGTGAAATTCTCGGATATGGACTTTCTGGTGATGGATCACATTTAACGGCACCTAGTCAGGATGGATTAGGTGCTAAATTGGCAATGCAACGAGCTTTAAAAGATGCAAATTTAAGTCCATCAGATATAAGTTATGTTAATGCTCATGCAACGTCAACGCCTTTGGGAGATTCAATTGAAGCTAGAGCTATTCAGTCAATATTTGGTGGAAACGAAGATCTTGCAATCAGTTCCACAAAAGGTCAGTATATAACGTATTTTCTTTTGAAAATTGAGGTTCAAATATTGAACTTTGTAAAATCAAAAATAAAATATCCGTTAAATTTCAAATTATTAATGACCGTTATATTTATAGGCTCGCATGGACATCTTTTGGGAGCTGCTGGAACCTTAGAATGTCTCTTTACACTTTTAGCTTGCAGAGATGGATTATTTCCACCTACGATCAACATGAATGAGACTGAAGATGAGTTTAAAAATATAAATTTTGTAGCAAACAAGTCTCAGAAGTGGCCTAAAAATGGAAAGAAGCGAATAGCTGTAAAGAACTCATTTGGATTTGGTGGAACTAATGTATCTTTAATTGTTAGTGAATTTGTTAATTAATATACAAGAAAGTTTTATTAAAAATGTAAAAAATAAGACGCAATTTCGATTGATTATTTTGGTTTTACTTCCTGCTCACTGACATATCGGACAAAAATGCTTGGATTTGCAATTGGCTCAGGTGGTTTCTCTAATTCATCCAAATATGAGCAGCCTATAGCCAGAGTACTTCCATCACTGCTAAAGCTTAATGCAGAAATTGATGTATCATAATGATGAAATTGGCATAAACGTTTCTTATTAAATCCATCCCAAACGCTGACATATCCATCGGAACCGCCACTAGCAAATGTTGAATATCCACTATGGAAGCTAAGAGCATTTACAGGATAGATTAATTCGATATCCTTGTCTCGATTTCTGTGACATTTGAAGGCAAACTTCTTCTTTTGAATTTCAGCGTCATTATCGAAATATTCAACTGCTACACGTCCTTCAATTGATGACATGACATATCCTTCTTTTTTTGGGAAAATTCTAATGCAACGAGTTTGATATTTTAAAGATGATTCGCGTCTTGCTACATAATTTCCCATATTTCTTAAATCCCATATTAGAACTTTTCGATCGCTTGTTGCCACAACTAACTTTTCATCCACAACACTCATCGAATAGACTTTTCCATTATTTTGTTCATACGTCCCAACACAGCTCTTTTCGCGCGTATCCCATATTCGAACTGTTGTGTCCCAACTTCCAGTTATTAATGCATTCATTTTAGTTGAGAATTCTACACACTTTACAGCATTGTCATGAGATCCTAGATTCGCTTCACTACTAGTATTTAAATCATACAGTTTCAATCCACCATCTAAACCTCCTGAAATTGTATGAACTTGATCCTAAAATGAAATATTGTTTAATTAATTGGAAATTTATGACTGGATGAATGAAAAACACTTACTTGAAAGCAAACATCGAGAACGGGACAGTTGTGGACATATTTTTGCCTTAAATTATTACCGAGAACATCATACAATCGAACTCCTCCATCCCAACTACTTGCAATCAAATATTGTGAGCTTTCTGGACCAAAACTCAATGAGGAAATTGTGTCATTCGGTGGATGATTGATTTGAATTTCCGTTTTCTTAGACATTATTCACTTTAAATGACTAATTCGTGCAATAAAATTAAATTAAACTTTTTTCATTAGAACTGCCGCAATATTTTTGTTGTTTTTTCGAATTTTAAATAGTTCGTTGATTTTTGTTTTGAAACAATAAGCTAAACCAAAAAATTCAAACTCATTTTGACCGTTGGAAGCTCAAAAGCATGCGAATCACATGCGAAATGCTGCAATGTCATTTTTTTAATGAATTATTTGATTGACTGGGTATGGATGTTGGGAAAATTAATTGAAAATTATTAACGAACTCATTAATTAAAATGATTTTGAAATACAATCAATATTTGTTGAGAAAAATATGATCATGCAAAAAAATAAGCAGCAAGACAAGACAATTTTCACAACATACCGCCGACACAGTCGACAATGAAATAATGAAATTTTCATCACACTTGCCTGCAATACAAGAGAATTATACGTTATCAAATGACTTTTCTTGAGACACTTTATTGAAATAGTTTTTAACAGATGTAAGCCAAGCATCACATATTAATCATATGTCTCAGAACTTGAAAAAAAAAGGTTTTGTTTTGAAAAGAATAAGTTTTTCATCATATCATTGTGACATTGACCGAATTAACTTCCATAGCTGCTTGTATTACAAAAAAATAATGAAAAAAGTTTAAAAGCTTGTGAATAATGTTATCAAAGTTTAGTTATGAAGTGAAGATTCACCAAAGGTGACATAAAGTTTGTGGCTAGACAGTTCAAAATTAAATATTATGGCAAAGGTTCGGTGTGATAAAGGGGTTGTTTGGATGTTATGTCATGATTTAATCAGGAAATGATGAAAGGGGTCCAAATTAGTTTAACACAAGATTAGTTTTTTTTGGATATACTCTAATCTCAAACACCGTCTTCACACATCCAGATCGTCACAAAACATCCAAACAACCCCAAAAGACAATAAAGCCATAAATCCAATCCAATAAAATTCTTAATTCTTCATAGACATTCGCAATCCTGTTCTTCGTTGTGGCACTGCTTCATATCACACAGTCTGCAAAAAAGCAACCAAATCCCGTGACAGTCAGAACACAAATGAATGTGAAAGATTCAGAAAACATGAAGTTCCTGCAGATAAAAGTACGGAAGGATGGAAAACCCGTTGGAATTTTCTACAAGCCACACCAGACAAATGCACAAAAGAATCAGAAGAAAAAGAAGAGATTCCGACGAAATGCGGACGAGATCATTGAAATTGTTGGAACTCGAGAACATGACAATGAACATGATAAGAAAAATATTTACAGAAACGCAATGATTGTAAATAACACACTCGTTCCATATCCCCCAGACTATCGTCCCCACAAAATGGAAAGATCGAATGTCGCGAAATCATTGTGGAAGATATTTTCATAAAATAAAATTAATTAGTTGTAGCTTATTATTGTTAAGGTTATAAAATTTGAGTTTGTATTAATTTTGGACCTCAAACACGTTCTATAGTGTATCTTTAGCTTAAGAACCCTATTCCAACTTTCATTTCCATAAATGCACAATAAACTTAATTTTCAGCTCCATATCCTTCAATATATTAAACATTCCTAAGTGCCCTCGTTCATTGACTGCCGCAACCCGTCTACATTTCATCAAAACTTTAAGCAATCAGCAAAAGTGTTCAATGAATCGAATAATGAAGTCTGTAAAGTTTTCATGTAAATTTAAAGTTGTAGAAAATCAATTACGTACAGTATCATGGATGAATTGTGCATTATTTAGCATATAAATTTCATCGAGTAATAGTCGACTAATGATTAGTTTGGATTTTAGTGCTTATTAAGTGATAACAAATGGGAGGAAAAATGTTAAAAGTAAAGCAGTCATAGTGGCTTTTCAATGCTGCATATAAATTCTATTTCTATTTTCCAGAAACTGTCAATGAGTCTATTATTGATCACATTTATAATAGCATGCTCAAAATCAGAAGAAGCACCAGAAGATCCAACAAAGAAGGAAAAAGCAATTGCAGAAGCAAAAGTTGACTTTACAGATGGAATTGAAATGCAAATTAAGAAGGTGACGAGTGCAGATGGAAAGGAGATCAGCATCTTGATTAAAAAGGAAGTTCTACCTGACTCAATGGCCCCGAATTCTGATGCACCAAAGAGGAAGCGAAGGGATGTTGCTGATAATGTCTTGGATTTAGAAAAGTTGAAGAACGACAACAACTATAAGTTGGAAAAGATCAAGGATGCTGAAGGAAATGAAATTGAGGTTTATGTTTTGGATGTGCTTGAACAGGAAAATCAAAGAAAATGAAAACGGTCACAAGGTATAAGAAGCTAAAAAGTTTGAATTTTAAATGTGTTAAAGCTGAATTCCTGGATCTTGATAATAACTTGTGATTTTAACAAAAATCTAGAACTATATATATCTATGAATAAATTGTTTTATTGTTCGTTTTCTCAAGATTAATTGAAAAAGAACAAGAACTTATAGATGGAATCAGATTTGAGCACGAATTAACTCCCATATAAAGAATATCTTCAGCAAAATGCAAGGCGTGGAAACTCAGGATTAATCCTGAAATATCCCAAAAATTCTAAAAAGTCCCTTAGCCAATTATTCATCAAATGCATCAGAGATTTTAAATGGATTTATTGACTTAGGGATTTTTTAGGATTTTCGGGATATTTCAGGATTAATTCTGAGTTTTCACGCCTTGACAAAATACGAAAGATTCGAAATTAAAATCATAAAGTCAGTGGAATGGTGATCCAGTGTTAAAATTTGATCATTCACAGCCACTTAACTGAATATTTATCATTCACATTGTCGACTTGACACTTGCCAATTTGTTTTTAATCAAAATTTAAAAGGAGCAAAATTTATTGTCGTACTTTTTGAATTGTAAACTTACAAAGAAAGGTTTCCTCTTATTATTCATTAAATTATCGAATAAGACATTGGTCTTGTACATTCCTCTAACAACAAACATATCAAGCGGTGCTGCTTTTTCTTCAGAAATGATTTTTTAACCACATGAGACTGATATTCAATTTTAAATAACATCCAGTAAAGAGTTTTTTTAAACATGAAATGTGGATGAGTTGGAATCCTTGAATCAGATTGAGGATTAAGTTTTGTGGAAGTTGCTGGGGTTCAAACCCATTGTGGACTCAGTAGTGGAATTTAGTTCAGCAGTTGATATATCTATATTAATAAATACCCCCGAGAAATTCCATCCACTCTGGAAATTCCCATTTAAGCTGTCATTGTACAGCAAGTATCCAATAATAAGCAATAATACAATTGACTGATCAAACCATGAAATCTCCATCCTCATGTGATAATAATGCCTTCAATCTTACTCTCATGAAGTAATCAAAGCTCATCATTTGTATGAAAGTAAACATCAAATAGTTTAATGTACCGAACGATTATGAAAGTAAATAAGCTTCATATCCATCCAAAAAAAAAATAATAAATTTTTAATGGTCTGCTTACTGATAAATATAATTTAATTAATTGTTCTTCAATTTTTTGCACACAAAACACAAAGTACAGAAAAAAAAATTACGCCCAAAGTGAAACTGATCATATTTCATGCAGCTATAATCCACCAAACTGATAAGTCAGTAAAGAAAGAGAAAACAAAAAAATTCCATAAACGGAATTGAGAGGAATTGAGAAACTCCATATCTTTTGTTGTTTTCTCTCTCATTTCCACATTACTGGTTAACTAAGCTGCTCCGAATAGCTTGTGTGAGCATAAAAATATTTTTTTCTTGTGTGTTCAGTCTCGAGTGATCGTTGTGCCGAACAGGTTGTGTGAGTTTTTAGCTCCGCGTGACTTTAAGCAGAGAATAATAAAAAAAAACTTGTTCTTATAGGAAATGCATTAAATTCCAATCAGACACTGCAAAAATTATTTTAAAATTCAGAAGAATTTGGACATAAAAAATTTTAAGTTGAAAATTTCCCTTTTAATTCAAGTGTAGAGTCGATAAAAAATAACATTCAACACTTCCCGTGTATTGGTGATTGATTTTACAGTGAAAAAAAAATAATAATAATAACAAGCTGATGATCCACAAGTGGTATTGAGAAAGAAAATAATAATAATATTTGGTCTGAGTGTTAAGTTTGATTTTAAAAATAAAAGAAAAATTTATATCAGAAGAATCTTGAGTGTGACATGCAGCATATTATTCTAACAATAAATTCAAATTAGCATCGATTGGATTATACAACATAGACATATATAAATCGAGAATTGAGGATCGAAAGAATAGGTTCGTAAAATTTATTACATTCAGAAAATTGAATAGATTAGTAGGGTTTATTCATTAATGATGTCTACAGAAAAAATGTTTTTGATACCCATTGAGGTTTATGAAGAAAGTTTTCAAGGGTAGATCAAGATTTTTTTCACGCAATTTTTAAAAGAGGTCTAGACTGATCCAGACCTCTCCACCCCCATTTTCAACTGATCTGTGTCGACGATCAAGAATCTAGAACATTGGTTCTCAAACTGTGTTCCGCGAAAAAATTTATTGCTAAAATTGACCCTTTATTTTCATATTTAATGACTTCAAAATGGTCATTAATTGGCCATTTTGGTCGTAGACCAAAAAAGTTTGAGAAGCACTGCTCTTGAGTCTAGACACTTCTCATACAATACCACTGTTTAAATCGCAAAGAGTATCTGCTTAACCGCCTGAAGTAAACTTAGGAGTCCAGTGGTGGATAACTTGTGTGCTACGGCATGCTAGGATGTTCTAGAGTTTTGTGTCTCGAGCCATCGTTTGATTATTCCCGTACTAAGGTATCATTAGCCTTTAATGTTCAGAAGTAAGCTTGTGATTATCAAAACTAAAGCCAACGCATTGACATTTGTTTCTTCCTAATCTAAATTTTTTGTTTTAAGTAAGGATGTGGAACTTTTAAACCAGAATTTGATCATTTTTGATCAGTTTTACACCCCTGATTCCAGTCGAAATATTTAATTTAGGCAAAATAAAAAATGCCAATTGACTTTTTAAAAGAACCATTCCACAATTTTCTAACATCATTGATGAACAGCCCCTCCTATTAGCTGTAAACGAAAATTAATCTCACTATGAAATCTCATTTCAATATATTCGGTCGATCTTACACATTATAATGACTACGATTCTTGGAAACAACGAAAAAACAAAAAAGAAGAAGTTATTGAATATTAAGAAGAAGAAGAAATGTTAAAGGTTGGTTCGGTCAGAGAGGAAAGAAGAAAATGCCAAAAACTGGATTTTTTTTTCTTCATATTTTCGTTCGTAGAATTGATGAGATTTTGTTTTTTGTGGCAAACATAATGTTTCGCAAATTTATATCTCACTATAATCTACGATCTCAATATACTTATTCAATCAAAATTCGTGTTCGCCTAATGATTCTTAATATTTTATAGTCTGAGTACATTACGGTGCCTTTTGGGTATTATGTAGTTTTGAATGTTTATGAATAGACAGATTGAATTATAATGGATTTGATCTGTTCTTTGAAGATTGATTTCGATTTCATGGAATTCTTTTACGAATGGGTGGTTTGATGCTTTTGATTTTGAGTGGAGATGACTGGAAGCTTTAATTTTTTTGTCAAGTTTCTTGGATTGAATTTAATATTTTTGATTAAACGTAATAAGTTCTAAGGCAGTTTAGCTGTTGAGGATTTGAGATTTTAGAACTCTATTTTGAGACTTCATCAATATGTCTTGTTCGATTCCCAAACTCACGTCCTTACACATTTCGATAACATTCTCATGCTACTAAGTTTCAAAAGTTGCTAAGATACTAGACAGAATATCAACTTATACTGCTAATCTGATCTGAACAGAAGCTTTTAGCTGCACTAAACTTAGAAATCTTAGAAGAGGATATAGGAGGCAGAGTCTATTTGTCTACCAACAATTATATAATAACATAAATTTAACCAAAAAACCAATCCAATCCCAACAATCAACCTCCTCGTCTGAAACACTTCAAACATCAACAAATGTTGCGTCACAATCAAACACCCTTTAATTACATTATGAAATATCTTAACCAAAACTCATCGAAAAACAATTTTTTGTTTATCGTAAAACACCTAAATGAATCATCTAAATATGAAAGTAAATGAATGTTTATAACTACGACAAAATTCACATATATGGACACATTAATCACAACACATCCCAATGTCTGTAAACAGAATAAATATCAGTTGGCTTTCGAAAATTTTGAAAAAATTCGTAAATGATAAATTTTAAAAAACAAATATACGTTAGTAATTTTGTCATATTTGAAAATTAAAAATACGTTAGTAATTTTGGAAATCATTAAAATATTTATTAACTTTAAAATTTAATTATTTTTTGAGGCAAATTCATTTCTTTTATGCATAAAGCGACCCTGATACTGTAACTTCTTCCTGAATTCAACAAATGCTTTAATAAGCTTATCGATAGTTTCCTTGAAATAACATTTTTTGTATATACTTACAAGAGATGGAAATGCATCCGCATTTAATCGTACTCTCTTTGCATTCCTATTTACCATAGAGTGACAAAAATGAAGAACGCACAAAAAATACTTTTTTGACTGAATATATTAAATTTCATGATATTTTAAATAGTCGATCCATTTTCCTCGATGTATCGAACTCTCTGGAAGTTCAAATATGGGGATGTTGCTATTTCCTCTTCCTTTACAGCTTTGAATTGCACAAATTTTAACCATTTTAAAAAATTTCGAATTTTTGAATTGAAAATGTAAACAAATTTTCATAACGAACATTTTGAATTCAAATTTTTTTCCCGCGTTCGAAAAATAAGATCCTTTGAAATCGAAAAATAAGATCTTGTTTACAGACATTGGAACACATCATAATCAAAAGTAATGTAACATTATAGACTAAAAAACTATTCAACTTGTAGTACCTAATGATGATCATCATGTCCATAATTATTTACTAGCCGTACTCGAAGAAAAAAAAATATCTTAGACTTGAAAGAGGGTTATTTAAAAATGACGTCTATTGAAAATTGAATTTTTAATAACCAAACTCGTACCTCAAGCTCATTCAAAGTCTCATCTTCATCTTTAAAGTTTGACATTATTTATAAACACTCCCACATGAAAAGTGCTTATGATTTTATTAGAGGAAAGAGAAAATAAATCTCATAATAAGTCATAATTGTAGTATCGTTGAATTGATGCAATTAAAGCGACACATTAATGTTAAACAATGGAGACGTCCGCTCTTTATTAAATAATTTTTTTTTTCTTTATCATTTCTGGCATCCATCATTAAAGACACTGTCATCGTTGAAAGTAAAAGTTGATTATAGTTGCGAAAATGTTAATGGACTGTCGCATAGGCTATCGTCGTTTATCTCGTCTCTTTGCGGTATTTATGCGGATGAATAATTTATGAAAAATTAAAGCGAACAGCCTTGTTGCGTCAGTTATTATGGAGGAGCTTTTACTCTTCTTTCTAATAATTATTGGATTTTAATTAGTTCATCACGAGCTGCTCATATATCGGCTAATTGTTTATATCTGTGAGCTTCATTCATTATTATTTTGTGGATGTTTCGTCGTTCAAATACGTCGACTTGCTTTGAAATTCATTGAAGAAATTTTGTCAATGAAATATTCTATTGTGTTGTGTTTATATCGTCATGGTTTGATGGGGAAAATCTTACAGGTAGAAGTTTCACGTTAGAGTTACTCATTCGTGGTATGGAAAATGATTTGATTCCGAAAATTGCTATCATTTTGATTATTGTGGGATTTTTGGGTGATTTAGAAATTTTTTCGGATATAAATTTGCCATTATTCAAGGCCAAGGACTATGAAAAGCACGCTGTCAGTTAAACTATAAATGTTTTGAATTTCTTCCGCATTTTTTTCGATAATGTTTACGAAAGTTCGAAAATGAATTTTTTCATAAATTCACAAAATTTCATATATAAAGACAATTTTGGTTCTGTTTAAGCGTGTTGCTGTAATTATTAAGTGATAATAATCGATTTGCAACAGTCATTGCTTAAACTATGCTTCAAATAGATGAAAAATTTGCAATTGAAAATTTTTGTCATAAATTGTAAACAAACTTGTTTTGGACAAAAATTGGAAGATAAAATTTGAATCAATCAAAAAAACATTTTTACAGCCTTATAAAACTAAAACAATATAATTAAGTAGTTTTCAATCTTTACACGTGCATTTTAAACTTAAAAAACAATAGAATGAAAAAAATTATAACGTAAATTAAAATTTCAAAATTTTGCCGCGAAAATTTTCTGACAAAAAAAGTTGATGAAAATTCGAGTTCGAATTTTCGAACAACTATCCATAGTCCTTGGATTCAAGGTTGAGGTTTCCTGGAGCTTCTACTATAGTCACAGATCATTGTAATATATATGCCATGATTAGATCAAAAGACTAGGCTCCTGGATCGATCAATATAAGGAACAAAGGCAGTCTGACGTTGACAAAATCAATAAAATTTTTATATTTTCTGTCTCATTCGACTCAACCTATTCTCTAACATAACTCAAGTCACTTAACCCTGAAACATTAAATCTAGACAACATCAAGGCACACACTCAAAACTCTTTCAGAAAGAATGATTGATGAGGATTAAACAAAATATTCCAAAAGTATTTACTTAGCTATTCAACATGCACAATTTCTTGAAGAAAATTACCAAACAAGCACCTCATGGCTTCTTGTTAATCCTCTTCAGAAGTTACATTCTAATAGAATGTTAATGAGAACCAAACACGAAGTGCAGTCTTCAATGTATGGGCACCATCAAGGAACCAACATCAATTATGTATGATATTGAAAATTAAGAGATTTCAAAATTCAATTTAAATAATTTTCAATGTCTAGTTTGAATCAAGGTAGATCTGGGTACAATATTCAATGCTACAAATATATAAAATAACGACAAAAAAGATTAAAATCACCAAATAAATAATTTTTTTCATGTTCATTCAAGAATTTCTATGAAAAATTACTTTTTATAAATTATTTATCATCAAGCACACATTAACAAACCAGAGCCGAGAAATTTTGTATTTTTTTGTGTGTCTGTGCTCTAATCAAAAACCTGAAGCACAAAAAAAATATCTTTTTGTGGGGAGGAATTGTAAATGATGTTACGTGTTTTGATCAAATTGATATGTGGGAGTTGGCAAGGTGGGAGGGGGATAACTGACTAGTATCTTGGCTATACTCATAATCTTACACACTTGGATATACCC